CTGCCTTTTCTAGAGCTCAGACTCTATGGTTGGTAGACCTCAGAAGATGGACTTCAACTCCCAGAATTCTCCAGCCAACAAGGGAAATCTGGGAATTGAAGTCTGCCCATCTTTAAGTTGCCAAGGTTAAGAAACACTTCTAGATGAAAGCAAATTTCAGCTGGTGAACCATCTCATCCTGTTCATCCTACTAGAAGCGTTGGTATAACATGGCCCATGTGCTAATCCTCATACTGGCATTTATGGATCCCTCTGGGAGCTTTTGCCGGCCTATTGAGTCTCTTCAATGCCGTTTTTCTCCATTTCTGACCGCTGAATGCCTCCTGCCCCATGCTTTTCTTGAGGAACACCTATCCTAGCAAAGGTTTCCGGATGAGGCGGCCTGCATTCTCTTTAACGCTAGATCCTTGTTTTTCTTCCCTAGTGCCATCAGACTCGATCCCTCGAGACCAACCGCTCAAAAGCCAGGGAGATCCTTCAGGAGAAAGTGGACATCTTCTACAAGGGCCAGTCCAGCATGGTGCTCCAGGAGAAACAGGAGTCGCAGAAGAAAAAGGAAGAGAAGAAACGACAAGCCAAAAAAAACCTGGAAAGGAAGCGGCACTTGAAAGAAATGCATGCCCTGGAGGACAAATAGGAACATAAAGACAGTTTCGGCTGACATTTTTTAAAAATGGGACCTACTCTAATCAATGCATTTTTTTAAAACTCTGCAGTTCAGCAGAAAACAATACAGTCCAATCAGTGCTTGAATTATTAGCATGATGGCATCATCCCCCCCCCTCTCCATTTCACTGAGGGCAGGAGAGATCCTTGCAGGTGGCAAGGAACCAACTCCGTTTCCCAGGGCCTAGATCACAGCATTTTTGGGGGAGGGAGGGGGTCACGTAATTTATTTCTTCTCTGCATATTTGCCAGAACTTTTACAAGAACAAAGTACAGCTTCTTTGCTGTCATTTGGTAGCGTGCAAAAATTGCTGTAGCATTTCGGTCGCCACGCTGTTAAACCCAGTTGTCCCAAGGTGACGCGTTCCATCGGCATCAAAGCCACGAAGAAAAAGTTGTTAAATCAGGAAAAAGATGGATCCCTTTCCTGGAGTCCATCAACGCTTCTGAATGTGTGTGTGCTTTCATTTCCTTAATCTTTTCTTGTCCTTGTAATAATTTTAATTACTTGTCCAGCTCACTCCCCACTCCCCCATGGCTCTCTGGTATTTAACCACAGGAATTATTGAAAATAAGCTTTATTACGTCAAGTAATAAATACATACAAAGAGGCAAAGTTGCAGTTTAAATCCGGGGACGGGGAAAATGGTTAATAACGGCTGAAAATTGGCTGTTTTCTGCTTGGGAGGAACTTGTGCGTTTTTTTGGGATGGTTGTGGAAAACTCAAAGAAAGGGACGTTTCAAAAAGATACCGTTTACGGTCTGCGTGCCAAAAGAATAATACTCCAGATGATTATATGGCAAGTTGAAGAATAGATGGCAGGGAACTTTATAATTCCACCAGTTTAAAAACAATCCCTGAAATGGTTGGGCTGGGAGACAAGTTAATTTGGAGCAATTAAGGCATTTTTTTTTTCGAAAAAAAGGTTTACCCTGCAAATCCTAAGTATTTTTACCTTGGTGCGTTGTGCAGGATTTTTTTTTTTTTTTGTGGATGTCCACAACTCATCGACAAAACGGTATGGATCTGTCCTCCAGGCAAGCAAAACTATTGATGCATTGTATAGAAAAATGTCAGTAACGCAGGGGGGGATTTCTGATAGGGGAACCTGTCCAGTTTTATTTCAGTGAGGAATCTCTGGAAAGCTGCAAGGGATCCCTCAACTGGCTCTGAACACAGACTAGAAAACGATCTAAGGCAGGGGTGTCCAACCTTGGCAACTTTAAGACTTGTGGACTTCAACTCCCAGAATTCCTCAGCCAGCAAAGCTGGCTGAGGAATTCTGGGAGTTGAAGTCCACATGTCTTAAAGTTGCCAAGGTTGGACACCCCTGATCTAAGGGGATGTGAGCCCAGAGAGCGATTGCAGAAAGTTGAGAAGGGATGTTGGGTACAGATGACAAATGGGAAGGAAGCTTGTTCCCGACTAGGAGCAGAATTTGGGTGGAAAAAGAAGACAAAACCCACCCCCTTGAATAATTGCCATTCTTCCAAGGGGTGGGTTTTTTGTTTCGGATGGATCAATCCAGGATGGCAACTTGTGCAGAAATGTAAGAGTCAAAATTAAGCTTGTGAGATGATACAAAAAAAACAACGTCTGGATGGGAGCAGGAATTCAATGGGACACCGAAATTCTCGGCCACGGTTCTTGGAAAGGGAACTATGCCAAACGAGGAAGAAGACGTGCAGAAAATTGCCAGTTCGAAGGGTTGGTCTGCATTTTTCCAGAGGAAGGGGATTGAAGGGGATCTTAAGATCTTGCATTTCTTTCCGTCTCTGCTAAACATTCTCGGACAAGTCCTCTGGCGTGGATGATACCTGTAAAAAATAAATAAAATACGGTTGTTGTTTTTTTTTTGAAGATGCTTTTTTGTCCCCCACAAAATGAGCGAGCAACTTAACTGCTGACCAGGGAAATAACATCATGAAGAGCCAAAATTCCAAAGCAAATCATATTTAAATCTTTATGTGCAAAATCCATTTTGGCCTTTGCAGGTATCCTCAATTTAATGACAATTTATTTAGTGACTGTTCAAAGTTACACCGGGGCCAAAATAAGTGACTTACAACCATTTTTTTCACACTTATGACCTCCCCATGGCCACCGGATCAAAATTCAGACGCTTGGCAACTGACTCACGCTTGCGATGGTCGCTGCGTCCCACAGCCAGGGGTTTCCCTTTTGCGACCGTCTGACAAACAAAGTCAATGGGATTGACTTAACGACCGGGTGGCCAGCTTACCACTGCCACTGCCGTGCTTCCCTTAACAACAGAGGCAGGAAAGGTTGTAAAAGGGGGGCAAAACTCACTTAACGACAGAAATGTTGGGCTCCACGGCGGCCTACCTGTATTTGAGTCTCCACTTTTGGAATAAATCACTTATTTGTGTAAAATACGGTAGACGGTGCTGTTTTCCTAGGGCAGGGGTCTCCAACTTTGGCAACTTTAAACCTGGTGGTCTTCCACTCCCAGAATTCTTTGCTGGCTGGGGAATTCTGGGAGTTGAAGTCTGCCAGGCTTAAAGCTTCGCTGGCTGGGGAATTCTGGGAGTTGAAGTCCACCAGGTTGGAGACCGCTGCTCTAGAAAATAGCCTGCCTCTTGCACTTAAGTCAGGGCGGGACAGCCGAGACCCTAATGGCCTCCTTTGTAGTTTGCGCGGTAAAGTATGTTTGGATTAAACTGGATTCCCGCCTAGCAGGATGGGTGAACCCTGAAGCTTGTCACCATGGCAACGGAGATCAAGCGATGAAGGAAACAACAAGGCCGAAACGACTCGGTTGGTTAGAGAGACGCACAAGGTGGGGCTGACACCAACTCCCCTGTGGTTAATTCCCGCCAATCTGCTCCCAATAGTAAGCCTCTTTTCCATCAGCGCCACTACTACCCGTTGCAAATTCAGAATCGGTGGGTTATTAAGCCGGCTCTTCAAATGCTGGGGATACAATCCTGAGGACTAGAAACGCCGGCGATTTAAAAGGAGGCTGACCTAAAATTTACCTCGTTTTAGCCTTTCCATGGCACTTTTGCTGCCGGCGTAGGTGGGTCTGATTTCTTTTCCTAATTCTTCGATGATGGTCAGGAGTTCTGCGTATTTACTCTGAGGGACTTGGTTGCTGCTGGTGGCCTGCTGGCAGAAAAGGAAAGAGGGGGGAAAAAACCTGAAATTAAGTCATAAAGACACCCAAAATCCGAGGTTTACAAATGAGCAGAACAATAGAGGCCGTCCTCCTCTTAACAACTTTTCGTTTAGTGACCGAAAGTTACAATGGCCCCGAAAAAAAAAAAAAAAAGGACCGTTTCCCACACTTAACGACCGTTGCAACTTCCTCAGGGTCAGGCGATCAAAATTCAGGTGCTTGGCTTCATATTTATAACGGTCGTCGCAGTGTCCCCCTTTTGCGACATTCTGACAACCCAGGTCATTGGGCAAGCCAGATTCACTGAACCACCGCATTACTAAGTGGTAACTCACTTTACAACGGTGGCAGGAAAGGTTGTAAAGTCACCAACTCTCTTGCTTAGCGATGGAAATTTTAATCTCCGTTGGGCTCATAAATTGAAGATGACCTGTAGAACAGGGTCTAGTAGCATTACTATCAGTAGCATGCTAATAGTATTTAACATCTAGCGCTACTGGAGGCTTTTAAAGAAGAGATTGGACAGCCGCTTGTCCGAAATGGTATAGGGTCTCCTGCTTGAGCAGGGGGTTGGACTAGATGACCTCCGAGGTCCCTTCCAACTCTGTTAATTCTGCCTTCTAGTCCAACCCCCTGCTCAAGAAAAAGACCCTTTGCCATTTCATAGAAATAGTTGTCCAATCTCTTCTTACAAACCTCCAGGGATGAAGCGCCCACAACTTCTGGTGGCAAGCTGTTCCCCTGGTTAATTGTCCCCACTGTTAGGAAGTTTCTCCTTAATTCAAGGTTGCTTCTCTCCTTGGTTAGTTTCCATCCATTGCTTCTTGTCTGGCCTTCTGGTGCTTTGGAGAATAGCTTGACCCCCCCTTCTTCTTTGGGGCGGCCCCTGAGATATTGGAACACTGCTATCATGTCCCCCCCCCCCCAGTCCTTCTCTTCATTAGACTGGACATATACAATTCCTGCAACTGTTCATCGTATGGTTTAGCCTCCAGCCCCCTGATAATCTTGGTCGCTCTTCTCAGCACCCTTTCTACTTCATTGTGTCAACTAAAAGAAATATTTCTTTGGTCTTTTTAGTTGCCAGCAGAAAGGGAGTGGGGGGGAAAGCAGTGCATTCCTAAAATGCTTCAGATAATTGCTAGGCAGCCGAAGATGTTGGCGCGCAAGATTATTACTGGAGAGCACGACTGATGACTTTTGGCTATGGATGTGTCCCATTGGAGAATATACATCCAGGGGGTGGGGGGAAGACCAGGGTCAAGGGGGAAATGAATGATGTATTTTAGTGTCGGTTGCACCCAGCTAACGCCAACATGGCCACTTCTAATAAATCATTTCTTTTTTTCCTCGGAGAGATGCGGCTAGAGACTTTTGATTTGAATGTGGGTAGAACTGTCGGAGCCCTGACACATTGCAGGCAGAGAGACATCTCTACCAGAACCGACCCCCTTGTAAGGATTAGAATAGCCCTTAATGACAAAAGAAAACCTGCTTTTCCCTTCTTTCGAAGAATCTCGTAGCGTCATCACAATTTTAACCCTCTACACGACGCAAAGGAAAGCAGGACTGACCAAGTGACTTGATGACCTCCCCCCCCGTGTCCATAAAGTTGAAATTAAAAAAAAAATATCACCATTTTTACCTGCCCTCCTTGTGTGTATCCTAGAGAAGGGGGTCCGTAGTCGTTAATCAGGTGTCGGTACTGCCCCGAGCCCGCCATGCTGCTGGAAGGAGAATGCGCTTAGGGGAGAAACAAATGCAACGGATAAGAGTGGATCCCCAAAGAAGGGAAAAAAGGTTATCAGAGAAAAGGCATTCTTGGTTTAACAGCGTTACCTACTGCTTAACAGCGACACGAAATGGCAGCCTTAACTCGGGAATTAATAAATACAAATGCTTCCTTTTTCGTCTCGGCCAAGAAAACTTTCTCCCTCTTTGCGTGGCTTTTTCTTGTTCTCCCAGCTGCGAAATATTAAAAAACTGGCCATTTTCTTGTAACGCTGGCAGGATTTTGCAAGCTCAGAGTCGTTGCTCGGAGGTGGGCAGCCCCAGAAATCCGAAATTAAAACCCCTCATGCAAACGGGTAACAGGATCGGGCTTCAAAATAATCAAAATTATGTTAGACTCCCCGGCTCAGGGGGAAAGGAAAAAAAAAACACACAAATCTACATCTGGGAAACGGGCAATGAAACTCCTTCAGGCGCAGGAGAATATCAGGGTCCAGCATTGCAGAAAAGACATCAAATTTTCTTTCTTTTGGCGGGTGGTTGAGTATATTTACATTAAAGTTAGCCACCAAACACATCGACTTATTCCCTTAAAGCCTCTGCAGCAGTTCACTTGGTATAATGCGAGCTCCAATCCAAAGCACGCCAAACACAGGTGATTTACAACACGTGTGAAGTGGCTGTTTGGTGGTGGTATAAAAATATAAGGGGTGGGGGGCATGAAACCAAGCATCTTGGCCATAAAAAAACCCGGGTCTCTCTCTCTCTCTCGATTGGTGACACCCCTTCCCCATTTCTGGCACGGCTTGGCAAGCCAACGCTGGTGACAAATGGGGCAGGCTGGGGGCCTCGCCATTGGAAAGGTTGGGGATTATGGGTCCACTCCGAAGCCCAACTTCGCCTGCCTGCCTTCTCTAAGGAGGATGAGCCCTCCACGAGACCCATCTCGCCCTAGAGGCTGGCTCCGTATCTCGAGGCTGTGCCACCTACCCCTCTTCTCTAACCGCCCCCAAACCACGATCTGGGGTCCCTTTACCTGCTCCTTGGCCCTCAAACACGTAGTAGGACATAACCTCCGGCAGCCAGAACCTCCTCTGCCGGCAGCAGGCCCCCAGGAACAAAAGGAGAGGAGAGGGGGGGGGCTCGGACTTGGCTGCGCCACCGTCCCCCCTTCAAACGCAATGCAGATGGCCGCCGTTTGCAGCCGTGCCAGCTTCGCCCAGCTGGAGGGTGAGGGTGGGTGGTGGAAGGAAAGACACACAATGCCAGGCTGGCTTGGAAACGGGAAGCCTTCGCCGAAGGACATCCAGAGCTCATTTAGCTGAGCCCGGACGCTGGGAGGGAAGCATCGCAGAGAGCTGGAAAGAGATTCGGGGCAGCGGATCAACCGATCTCTTCCCCCTTCTGGGTAGGATCCGTTTCAGGGCCCCCAGAACTATCCTAGCCTAGTTCTGTATGGGCTCAGAACTCAGCTGTTTGGAAATAGGGGAATACAAAGGGCATCAGTGCCATAGACCCTGCCTGGCACCTGGCCACAAGGATGGGCGATGCCAGCTTAAACATTGGGTGCATTCAGCTTCTAGCCTCCTTTGTCTGCCTGGCTGGCCTTGAGCCAGGGTGCCAGAGTGTGCCCTGTTCACAAAGCAGGCAGAGAAGCTACGATGGAGAGAACGGATACTCAATGTCCCTCTTTCCAGCCCCTCAAAAACACCCTACGGAAGAAACAATACGCGCCTTTAAAAATAAATACAAATATAAAAGAATAAGGATATGAATAATAGGCCCTTGGTTACGACTTGGGTTGTTAAGTTTTTACCAGTCTCAGACTGTGAATCGAAGATTAAATCAATACCATTACTACTAATAATAACCAAAGGGCTGCCTGGATACATGGAAAATTTGGACTTATTAGACCTGAATATCCCAACTTTGCCAAAAAAAAAAAACACCAAACAACAACAACACCCCACCTTACTTGGAACTGCTAAGAAAGAGGCTGTTTTAATAGCTCTTAGATCTTCGGTTAGGACCAGAATTGTTAAGTTTTTTTTTTCCAGTCCCAGACTGTGAATCAAACTCAAGATTAAATCTACAAGAATAATGACTAGGAATAATGAATAGGAATAGGAAAGAATAAGAAAATAAATAAGAATAAGAAAATAAGAACAAGAAGGCAGCTGGGGTTAAACAGGAATCAGCCCACGCATCTGAAGGAAGATCCTTCTAGATGTTTTTTTTTTTCCCTTTTCCTTTTTTCCTTTTTTCTTTTCATTAAGGACAATCCTCACGTCTTGGAAAGGAAGCGAAGTGGATTTTGGAGGCAGACTGAGTCATCCTTTCAATGTGGCAGATGGCTGGCTCGGGCGGCCTTCCTCCCATTTCGAAGCCCATCCAAAACTACACACACACACACACACACACACACACACCAAAAAGGCAGGAAAAAAGGGAATCTTTTGGGAGCGGGGGTAGAACTCTGGCATTCCTGGGCCAGATGTGAAGGAACAGCTGCAGACTTCAAAATCTAAGTCCTGCTGGCTTGGACACTTTTGAAGGTCCCCACAGGCTCTAGCCTTTATTTTTATTTTTAGCTGAATTTTCTCAGGCTCATCAGATTTTATTTCCCCCTCCCCCCAGGAGTTGACGGTGCCTTTGAAATTTCCCACCCGTAAAACGCAAGGGAGCTGAATGCAGGGATTTCGAGCATCCTTGAAATCCAAATATCTGTAATAAAACAGTCAGAGAAACGTCCTTTGGGGAGGTGGGCATAACCCTGGGGGGGGGGGCATAGCCCCCAGGCACTGATTTTCAGGGGGCCTTTGCAAGCTGTCCCTCTGAAAAGGTACCGAGGATGCTGGTTTAGGCATTAAGCATTATTGGCTTAACCATAGTTTACTGGATAAATCACAGCTGGCTGGGTGCACA